CCATCCCCGCCTCCTCAATCCCCCACCCGTGTGTTTCATGAACGTTTATAACATAACATCCTCCCACCTCGCAAACACCCTGGTAGACTGACCTAGTGGGTGGTTGGTGGGTGCTCTGGTATGGTCTGCTTCTTCTTTCCTATCATACATCTATCATCCGTATCTCCCCCTTCTTCTTTTTTATGTTTGTTACTCTCTTGTAACACCTCTAATCTTCTGGCGCTCATATGACCTTATGCAGTTGCGAGCGCATAAAACCTCTACTAAAACAAACAAAACAAGACTGACCTAGTTTCATGTCCAAGACCTGAGACAGACGTTTGTCCCAAACTCCAGAGAATATCATGATATAAACCAGCAGAACTAGCTGCAATCGGTATATATATATATATATATGTTTTTGGGTTTAACATTTATATTGATTTGTTCCATTATGCTTTATTATGTGGTGATGCTTTTATGCTGAGTGTGCATTATGAAGGCTGGCAAAATGTTAAACCTTTAGCTGTGTGCTTTAATGCTGTTCCTTATAATTATTGTTGCTTTGGGGGGTTTTATGGACGAAAAATTTCCTAAGCAAACAGCTTGATTTGGCAGACATTGCAATCCAGTAGTTATGAGAACTGCTCCGAAATTTTCACATGAAAGAGAGTGTGCAGTCACTTGTTCTCATCTCAATTCCATTGTTTTCTCTTTGAATCCTTTATGATCCGTGGTGCAAAAAAAAGATGACACAGAGATTTTAATTCACCAAGCAATGTTATGCTGTTTTCATCCTTTTCAAAAGTATGGTTTCAAGCACCAATATTTCTTGGTAGAAAATTTACGGTAATAATTTTTCTTATCATATCTTTAATTCTAATTAAAATGAAATGTATTTTTTCTTTCTTTAGAATTAAACATGTAATCAGCTATGTGCTTGTTGTTACACTTTTATTGCCACACGGGGAATAACAGGGACGTGAAGAGAATGAAAGACGTAGCCTACAGGTCTTTGTGGAAGTGTGGACCCCTGTGGCAGAGAGTTATTTTTTAAATCAACATTATTGCACAAAATGACCGAGACGCTACCCCCGGGGGCAGTACCTCTGACTGTAGTGTCTTTAGACCATTCCCAAAGGGGGGACATTTCTCGTTCAAGCACAGTAGAATTGTATGGGCTGATTCATCATGTCAGGCTCATAACTGTGCCTGATCAACAACAGGGAACTGCTGCTTTTTCTTTCCTAATCCTTACTATTGTCATTTTCCTCTACTTCTTTTGTATGTTTGTCACTTTGTCTTGTGACTCGCTATTTCTGGGGTGCTTTGATAGTCGAAGCAGGCCTTGTGCTGTTGAAGCTAGAGAGGTGAGCAGAGTAAGTCTGATTCCATATAAAGACTTGTCTGTTGACACCCACCCCTTGGCGCTCATATGACCTTATGCAGTTGCAAGCGCAGTAAAACCCTCTACTTTAAAAAAAAAAATTTTTTTTAAAGGAGACGCTGTGCAGTCAAGTACATATACTGGTACATGTATTATGATTATTGTTAGCGTATACGAATATCAACATGTACTTTTACAAATATTGATTTAAAGCATAAAATTAATTTGAATTTTCAAGTTTACTCTACTAAATACATAGGGCACAGATAGATCTTTCCAAACACGCTTAGCGGAGCAGTTTGAGCAAAGAGAAAAGAAGGAAAGAAAAATGGAGATGCAGCACAGAAAATATCTACTGCGGTAAACCCATGAGAAGTTTCACTCCTTTCTCTCCGTGTCTCCCTATCAATCTCTGTCTCTGTCACTGTCTCTCTTTCTCTCTCTCAATTACTGTCTCTGTCTTTCTTTCTCTGTCTCTGTTTTATAGGCTATACTGCCGCAATACACACACACACACACATACACACACGCACACACACACACACATGTACATGGAATGTGTATGTATACAAGTATTACAAGGGAATTATTGACAGGATTAATGCCTTGGCTTTCTCACTTTCTGTTGTTCTCATTATTTAGTGTAGTCACCATGTAACATCCCCGCTAGACACTGTGTTGATCGTCATGTCAGATTCAGATCCAGAGCACTTTGTCAGGACCTCCAGGCGAATAAGAAATATTTCAGAGATAGAGGCAAAAATAGTTTCAAATTCCTCCTCCTGGATTCAGAACCTGAGCTACGATGGGACAGCTTGCTATTAATATAATAATTTGTCTTAAGTCCTTATGCAACTTTCTTGGGAGTTTCTTTTAAATGAAAACTGGTGTCTATGGTGTAATGGTTAGATGCTTGGCCGTTGCACGCAGAAGACCCGAGTTCGATTTCTGCTTGGGGAGAATTTTTAATCAAGTATCTCGGTTTTTCTTCAGGGACATTGTGTCTCGTTCAGCCCCTCTCCTAAATCCATGATCTAAAAAGTGTTGTAAAAACACCTACATTTAAAAGAAATGATTTTTCACTCGGTATTCTGAGAAAAAAAGGACCTCTTCATGAAGGCCTAGTTGGTTATACTATTACTATGGTCATGTTTAATGTTAGGTCGGTAAGTAATTTATCGTATATATATGAAACTTGGGTACGGTTGTGCACTTTTGCTAGAGTGCTACGAGTCTACCCTCAC